AAAGGAAATCCAGTTTCTTTTCTACTGTAGAAATAATTTAAAGTTACAAAAAGGCCCACAGTCCTTTCTTACTGTACAGACAGTGGGATTCTGTGAGGGGTGGGGTGAACAAGGCCTATCCGTAATAATAACACTAAGGCACTGCCGCAATGTCGTGCCAGCCCTTGAGAGAATTAGCCTATACATAAACCTGAACTTTGACTCTTTTGTGAAATTGGCATCCTGCACCCGTAAATTTTCATGCATCGCTACAACTTTAATAGACTTGGAAGTTCACTACCCCACCCATACAAACCTGTAACTCCCTCATAAATATCTACCCTCCTCGACATTCCATCTTACTAAACATACAACATGTGTCAATGTTTTTATAATAACTTTTACCTTAATGACATTTCATTTGTTGATCTAATCTTTAATCAATGTGGTGTTGCTAACACTGTACGTTTTTGGTTTTCATCCGATCGCCAAGAAACGTTGGGAAATTGTTTGAATTCTCCAGGCAGTGTTTAAATTTTCCAGATATTTTCTGAAAAGGTGCCTTAAAGAAACTCAGACATTTGGGAAGATTTCAGCCATTAATTTTTTATTTATTTCGGTGGACGCACACCGACCTTAAGGCGGCGTCCCGTCAGTAAATCGGTGTGGTTAGCCATCCAGAGTTTCCCAGCTGCTATCTATAAACCTCAGTCTCGTTGATTGGTGTCCTACGCAGCGGGTCAGTGCTGCTACTTTATTCAGCGGTCAAATTGCACAGGTGCATCAGCCGACTGTCGTGTAATCCAGTGCGCCTATATTCGTTTTAATAAGCGCCACACGGAGAGACACTAAAATAGATTACTAAATCAAATAAAGGACGACCTCCAGCGAATAAGCTAGTTAGGATAAACAAGGGACGATCTCCAGCGAATAGGCTAGCTAGGATAAACATACTTTAACATTCGACTGTAATAGGGAGGGAGATTTTGATGTCTATGATGATTTTTTTAAATCTCATTATTTGCTCATTATGATAATGTTAATTTGTTATGAAAAAAATTGTAGCTATGACCATTGGGCAGAAGCGGTGTGTGGGTAGTTGATGGTCTAAACCCAGCAGCAATAACACAAACAGTAGATGTACAGGTACTAAAGTGGACCGAACGTGTGACAAAAAGCGCCTCGCACAAGCCTGACGCTGAGGTAGGCGCCGAAGTAAACCAAGAACGAGGCTTTTGATCTACTTGCGATGAGTTATTTTTTTTTAAATGTGATATTTGGGGTAAAATATTTCTCTTTTTAGACTTGCCCAAATGTCGTTTGCCCGAAAACTGTTTTACCGATTAGACACTTGGGCAAAAACGACACGTGGCCGAACGGTTACTAGCACGAATAACGTAACGTGTTTTAATGAAATGGATCTGCCAGCCTACACACATTTTTGACAATACAAAATCGGATTTTATTTTATTTTTTTTCTTCAATGTTTTACACTTGTATTTTTTTAATGCCTCGAAGGTTTCCACTGTTAAAAAAATGATGTGGGGGGAAGGGGTGATGCAGCGTGGACATCTGTACAAATGTATTAATTGGCTGGTTGTTGGGTAGGAGATTTTCTTGATAGAAAAATAAAAGTAATATCGGAAATACAGAAATTAAAATGTAAAACATAAACTAATGTGTCATTTGTTTAGCTCATTAAAACCAGGTATTAAACACAGTCCTCTTTTTAAGAAAATTAAACTTAAAATTTTAAAATAAAAAACTAAGCAATTACTGCATTTAAGAACATTAGAAATTAGACGGAAATAAAGCCATTATGTGTTCGCTTGTTTTGTCATACAGAAGGCGAATAGTGAGGTATATTTTAATAAAATAGTTTAGTATTTAATACTTTACATCTGAGGCCTAAAAAGGGACATTAAATAAACAGAGATAAATCATTTCGAGGTTGTGTTCCAGGCGGTGAACCACGATTTATCTAAATTATCCCATGTCAAGAAAGTATGTACTTTATATAACTAAATGTTGTATATTTAAACAATACTAAAATTAAAATTTGGATTTTGTATTACATCTTAATTGATATACAACACATATTAACATTTAATTTTTTTTCTATTTGATAAAAAATAGTTAATTGTAATCGTGTTGACTTTTGAATCATTGTTTATTTGTACCTTTTTTTTTTAATCAAGATCGCTTGTTTATGTCCCTTGATTGTTTTAGTATTTATCCCGGCAGATAACTATTGCAGGTTTATATTAGCGATTCATGCAATAATTATCCATACTAACTCTATATTAAAATAATACAAAACTATCAATCCATATCAACTAATTCACCTGTATATTTTAATATCGTACATTTCTACACACTATAAAGCAGATGTTCACCTTAGCCAATGCGTTCGTTTATAATTGTTCTATACTTGTTTTGTGATGTGTTGCCAAATTTTAAACACGTTTTTTCCTTAACACTAACATTTACCTCGCACCAAAAACAGTCTAAACAGTTTTTGTATTTCTATGTTCAATTTTACTTAACCCTTATGTAGCTGTCTCTTCTCTCGTTGTCTCTATAGACCAGATTGTTCAATATACTAAAATAATAATCAATTGTTTTAATTAAGTGGTATTAAATAACCAACTGGAACACATTGTCACCACCCTACCCCTTACAATACAACAGACTCTTAGAGTGATCGGACATCATGTCGTACTAAGTAGATGGATGGTAGGGGGAGCCAGGTTTATTGTAGTAGTTTACTATTTAAAATAGTGTTAAATGCACATTTTTAAAATGTCGATAATACACGTTTTTATACACTAGGTTAGATGTATTGTTGAATACATGTGTTTAAATTTGAAACACGCCTACAGGCTATTTTATTCTATTATTATTGTTTCCTTTTGTGTTTTGAGTTAACTTTCGCAGTATTGTTAATTAGACGCTACTAGCACGAGCTAATGTTGTTAACAATTATTCTCTAACGTTATTAACATGTAGCTCTACAGACACTAACTAACCAAGGACATAATACATTTTTATAATTTTATAGAACTCTCGAGCTGATTAACAATGTTTTCCTCGTATGTTAAAGTGTGCGTTCTCATGTGCGTCAACGTAAGGTTTTGGAAAACGCCAAATTTTCGACACAGTAACTCTATCCTTGACCCCTGTCTCTCAAATCCACATTATACATGTTACAGGCAAGGTATAAAGCTGTTAGTACGATTTAAATCGTACTTTTTACTTTGTCAAGGTTTTTTATACAGTTTAACAAGATACGCGTAATGAAGATGTAAAATAGTGTCTAATATAAGTAATACATTGTACGGTACAGACGTTATGGACAACAGGTCCGTTTAAGTAATTCATTGATGTTGAAATAAGAAACAAATACATACCAGATGTTTTATTTATTACTATTGAATGCCTCTTTATTTTCAACTTGGGACGGCGTGGTTAACGGTAGAGAGCTAGGCTGCTGACCCTAGAGTCGCGAGTTCGAAACTGGAATCAAGTCAATAGATTAGAATCTAACTAGAGTCTACCTAGTTCTTATGGGTATGCTTATTTATGTCTTTTAGAACTTCAAAATGAAAAAAAAAATCTTTTCATAACATGACACGTCTAATATGTAAACATTTTGTTTGCCAAATTTTTAAATAAATAAATTAAACAATAAATGTTTTTAAAAGGTTTCATTTTAACTATAGGGAGGTGTGAGGTGTATGTAAGAGCAAGTGGGGAGACTGGGATAAGGGTGGGGTGGTAGGGAGGTGTGAGGTGTGTGTAAGAGCAAGTGGGGAGACTGGGATGAGGGCGGGGTGGTAGGGAGGTGTGAGGTGTGAGGTGTGAGGTGTGTGTAAGAGCAAGTGGGGAGACTGGGATGAGGGTGGGGTGGTAGGGAGGTGTAAGGTGTAAGGTGTGAGGTGTGTGTAAGAGCAAGTGGGGAGACTGGGATGAGGGCGGGGTGGTAGGGAGGTGTGAGGTGTGAGGTGTGTGTAAGAGCAAGTGGGGAGACTGGGATGAGGGTTGGGTGGTAGGAAGGTGTGAGGTGTGTGTAAGAGTGGGGTGGTAGGAAGGTGTGAGGTGTGTGTAAGAGCAAGTGGGGAGACTGGGATGAGGGTGGGTGGTAGGAAGGTGTGAGGTGTGTGTAAGAGTGGGGTGGTAGGAAGGTGTGAGGTGTGTGTAAGAGCAAGTGGGGAGACTGGGATGAGGGTGGGTGGTAGGAAAGTGTAAGGTGTAAGGTGTGAGGTGTGAGGTGTGAGGTGTGTGTAAGAGCAAGTGGAGAGACTGGGATGGGGGTGGGGTGGTAGGAAGCTGTGAGGTGTGAGGTGTGTGTAAGAGCAAGTGGGGAGACTGGGATGAGGGTGGGTGGTAGGAAAGTGTAAGGTGTAAGGTGTGAGGTGTGAGGTGTGAGGTGTGTGTAAGAGCAAGTGGAGAGACTTGGATGGGGGTGGGGTGGTAGGAAGGTGTGAGGTGTGTGTAAGAGCAAGTGGAGAGACTGGGATGGGGGTGGGGTGGTAGGAAGGTGTGAGGTGTGAGGTGTGTGTAAGAGCAAGTGGGGAGACTGGGATGGGGGTGGGGTGGTAGGAAAGTGTTAGGTATGTGTAAGAGCAAGTGGAGAGACTGGGATGGGGGTGGGGTGGTAGGAAAGTGTAAGGTGTGTGTAAGAGCAAGTGGGGAGGCTGGGATGGGGGTGGGGTGGTAGGAAGGTGTGAGGTGTGAGGTGTGTGTAAGAGCAAGTGGGGAGACTGGGATGAGGGTGGGGTGGTAGGGAGGTGTAAGGTGCGAGGTGTGTGTAAGAGCAAGTGGGGAGACTGGGATGAGGGTGGTATCAAGCGAGAATGTGAGGAATGTGGTGAGTAAGATAGAGAATATGGTGGTAAATTAATGAAGCATATGTTAACACTGCCTTATATGGTATATTAATATCGATATCGTCAGTGTAAGTCTAGCTATTGATAGGCCTATCAGCAAATGCTTTCAGAATGACAGTAACGTGTGCAAAACAGATTTTGACGTGTGCAAAACATGTACGTGTCCCTTATAAAACTCATCTTTTTGTTAACAACTCACTGCTTGAGGTCCAACGTACGATCATTTCATGTAAGTGTTTCTTTCTTTTGATACATTATCTCGTTCATATCTTATCTTAAGCTTGCGTTGACAGAGGCGGTCATCTACATACAAGAGTTGCTTCCCTTGCAAGTGATATACGTCTCCAGTTTAATAATTCGAACTCGATGCCAAAGTACGTCTTTAAGTTCCCCAACCGCTGAAGGGTACCTGACTCACGATGGGGAAATTAAAGACAGCTGGGGGTAAAGCTTTGACACCAATATTCCTTTATAAACCATAATACCATCCATCCAGGGGCGGAACTACAGTGCCGCCAGACCCCGCAATGCGGGGGGGGGGGCCACGCCATTTAGGGGCCCACAGCCGACCATAATAATGTTTTTCATACTTAAATTTTTTTTAATTTTCTTGCATTTTTGACTTGATGGTTGTTTTGTAAAAAAAAGATTACAGTAGCTGCGGTTGGATTATCTTTATTCTATAGACACCACCCCAAGCTCGTGTATATTCTTTTTCTCTTTGTTTTTGAACCACTGTGAAAGCGGAGTCCTCTTTCTCCTACAATCAAACTTATCAAAGATAAGCAAACGTTCAAACCACTTCCATGACTTATTTCCCTTTTTAAAATAGTCAAATGGGCTCCTTTTAATAGATTTGTACTAAACAAATTAAAAAAACAATTATTTCTCTTAATTTTTTTTTTTATAAAGTAGTTACTAAACAATGACATTGTATAAAAAGGAAATGTGTTTAAAAATAATAATATAAATACAAAAAAAAAACAAAAAAATAAACATAACACGAGACACCATTACTTATACAAAGCTTGCATGGCTTATATTCTTTTGCCCGACTTAGAGGTTACAGGTCATATAACAGAGATAAAATAAAACTGATTTTCACAAAACACACTAATGCATTTACACACATGACATGATGCTGTAATTTGTTTTAATTTAAAAAACATTTCTATTTAAACCCGAACAGGCCAGCAATGAGTATCTTATGTTCGTATTTTGTGTTTATATATATATATATATATATATATATATATATATATATATATATATATATATATATATATATATATATATATATATATATATATATATATATAGGGGGGCCTAAATAATGTTTTTGCGGGGTGGCCCTTTTTTTCTAGTTCCGCCACTGCATCCATCGTGTGACTGTCTACCCAAAAATCTTGCGTTCAGAACTTGGAGTGCCGGCGGATGAGCATAATTCATATTACTTAACGATTATAATACCCCAATCTATTGCATAGGGTATCGCACTATTTAAAACCAACGGAGACGTCAATACGCAAACGAAAAAACCAGCTTAGTCAAATTACACCCTTCCTGGGCGTCAACGGAAGCGCCTGATTCAGTTTAGTGTAAAATTATAACGTCCCGTTTTATCCATAGTCTATCGCACTGTTTAAAACAAACGTATGCGCCGTAACCTCCCAAAGTTTCATGGCGATCAGATGAAAGGTGTAGTACTGCATAAAAGACAAAGAAACAAACACACAAAACACACACACACATTGCTTTATATATATATATATATATATATATATATATATATATATATATATATATATATATATATATATATATATATATACCAACCCCCCTCCCGTGAACAACCATTTCCACTCACCTACGCAACTAGGTACGTGCTAAACATGTCTATGCTATAGATACAGCAATATGTTAAAACATGCACACACAAAACACACTAATACATGTACAACAAATAAAACATAACCGAGGTTATGTTTTATATATAGATTAGGCAGACTGCCTAGCTTTGCCTAGGTTTTTGAAAAACAATTGCCTAAAATGATACAATTTTTTTATATTATGCTGATTATAATTAAACCAATCTTAGCACTATTTCTAATTTAATACCAATTTTTTAAACATCAACTTAACTTAATATGTTACGGTATTTTCTCCTTTTTCCCTTGTCTGATTTTAAAATTATGTCTGTGGAATAAAACAGTCTGAACAGAGAGAATGGTGTGTGTGTGTGTGTGTGTGTGTGTGTGTGTGTGTGTGTGTGTGTGTGTGTGTGTATGTGTGTGTGTGTGTTGGGGGGGGGGTGTCCAACGTCTGCTGGCGTGAATGTTTTTATTTTAAATCCTGAGTCGACTTATTTTTAGAAATTCAGCAGAACCAGCCTGAATACCTAGTAAAATCCACGCACACATTTTACAATCGAATTATTACATAACAATATTTCTTTTATTGTGTACGAGTTGAAATATTTCAATGCATCAAATCATCACACCTGTGTAAACAAGGCGATAAGAACTAGCCCAGGAGGCTTGCGTAATTCCATACATCTTTAGTAAAGAACACACAGCAGATGGGCGTTGATCTTGTTGTTTTTTTGTGTCGCCACGTGCTTTGATAAGAGACATCAATAATCATTGGCGTAGCGAGGTCGGGTGTCACCCGGTGCGGCACTTAATGGTGTCACCCCCCCCCCAGAGGCATAGAGACCCTTCCCAGGGACAAACTTTCAAATTTTCGATTTGCACCCCCCCCCCCTCAAACTTTCGATTTGCACCCCCCCTCAAGTTTTCGATTTGCACCCCCCCCCCCCCCTCAAACTTTCGATTTGCACCCCCCCTCGAGTTTTTCTCTATATATTTTGCTATTTTTTGCCTTGGTGTCACCCCCCTAAATTGTGTCACCCGGTGCGGTCCGCACCCCCCGCCCCCCCCCCTCGCTACGCCCCTGTCAATAATACAACGCTCTTGGGGTTACAACACTGGCGTTCTGCCATTAGGATTAGTACTGTGATGCATTTACACTTAGATAATTTTATGGTGATTAATTTTTTTAATTTTCTAGCTTATTGATTGTTCTTTAATTATGACACATTTTTTCTTCAGTCAACAATGTCTGACGTCTTGTGGGTCCGCCTGTCTGCGGTTACCTTCTGCATCTGCCTCTCTCTGTCATCGCATGTCGTGTCGGCCGCTGGGGTCGGAGAACGAGAACAGCACTCGCTGGCCCAACGGTCAGACGCGGGGACTAGCAAAGGCGCGGATCCAATATCGAAACGAGACGCCGCAGAAGCCTTTAAAACATTTGATGCAAGTGTTCGGTTTTTTTTCGACCACGCAGGCCTGGAAGCTTTAAAAAAAGAGGAAATTAAGCGGAAAAAAAGAATTAAATACTGGCAAGACGTCTATAAATATATGGGACAAGGCGGCGAAATCTAGAAAGAATAATTAAAAATAAAGTTGCTCTGATAAATTAGCAGAGAGAGAGAGAGAGAGAGAGAGAGAGAGAGAAAATACAAATAAACAGAGATACGATCTTTGCATAAATGTATTAAACATAAAATAGCTTTCAGATGTTAGTTTTTTTTTCATTCTATTGCTTTGTGCTGTCATTATGTCTTTTGTTTTAGGGCATTCATTCTCTCAAAATGAGCTCTTATAAATATCTTTTACACAAAATACGAAAGATGTATGAAAATTTAGGCTGGCATTTGTGTGGCACTTGAGTTTGACACTCAACAGCTCACAAAGGCTGAGCCTAACATTAAGCTAATACTTATTGTAAAAAAAAAAACAAGACTATCCATTACACTCATACAATAATAATTCTAACACTGAAATGAGACCTATCTAACAGTACCTAAGACTGACCATATCAATGACCTCATCCTTACCTAACGCTAACGTAAGATTGACCATAACACTGACCTACGACTGACATTAACACCTAACTAAAACTCACAGAAAACTGACCTAAGACTGATCCACCATATTAGAGACACAAATCTTACACCGTTTATCATTCGCTATCAGAGGGGTGAAACTCGCCTTCGCAATTTCACTCCATCCTGTGAACACCTGTACTGACCCGGGTCATAGAAAAACTAGGAATGACGTCACAAGACACACAGCGACAAAACGAGGCAAAGAAAAAGACAACTTTCACGGGAAATAAAACAAATTGCCTGTGGACAAGCCTTCGCTTGGGCCAACCATCTATGGTCGAAACACTTTCGGTCAAACGGCATCTATGTATGTATGATCGGAAAATATTTGTTTTCCTATGACATTTAGAAAGAACGGGGACATTTAATTTTATATAGAGGAATTAGAGTGAAATATATACATCCATGTATAACCACATACACAGACCAACATCAACATGCAGGTATAAACACACATACACGCACTCTCTCTCTCACACCCACCCACACACACACACATATATATATATATATATATATATATATATATATATATATATATATATATAGGACGGTAAGTAAAATCTGTGTTCGCAGCAAAATCGCACCCTACCAGGGCACCGGCGGACACTTCTGATTCAATTTAGTGAGCGACTGTAACGCTCGCACTGTTTACAACGAACTCAGGCACCATTGCGCTCAGGGGAAAGCCCAGGGCGCCAAATCGAACCCCACAGGGGCGCCGGGGCACCCGCCTTGCTCGATATAGTTAACGATTATTGTTGCACATCGCGTCTTTAGTAAGAGGCGTAGTGAGGGCGGGGCGGGGGGGGAGGTGAGGACTGCACCAGGTGACGTATTAAGGGTTGTGACACCATGGCACAAAATTGCAAAATATACAGAATAACATGCTATTTGCCAGTTCCATTAATGATTAATTACAGTTAAATAGTTTTTTAAACGCAAATCGACAATTATTACAAGAGGGTGGGGATGACACCATGACGTAAACGTGCTAAATATAGAGAAAACAATACTACATGTATTATTAACGGACTAAAGATAGACATCGTTACTATTAAGTCTACAATGATTAAAGATTATACACATACATGTACGCGTATGCGGCATATATTTAAATTATAGATCTATGTAAGACGACACCCACATATATATATATATATATATATATATATATATATATATATATATATATATATATATATATATATATATATTCTTATTGTCTTTGTGATTGTATGCACCTGTATAGCACTGTTCCCGATTATTATGACATACAGAATGCTGTAAGTCAAACATACATTATACAAACAGACACATTGACAAAACACAATAAAAATATTTTTTTACATATAGCCTATACACAGATAGCAATTTCACGGCTACATTTGTTTGAGATTAATTCAGGTGGATTTACTAATCGGTGTGGTCTGCTTGAAATTAGTTCATGCCATTGTTCGTTTAATCTGAGACAGCTGTATCTTTGTTAACGAATTTGATCGATATTTTATATGAAAATAACCGCACGATAGCTAACCTAAAATCATCGCACACAAGCAATCACACACACACACATTCACGCACGCACGCACATACACACGCACATACGCACACATATGTTCACTGTCTGACTTTCTGAAACGCACAAACACAAGAAGGCACGATAGACATCGGTTAGCTAATATACTTGCCAATATAAAAATTCGAGAAAAATTTCGGACATTGGCTGGTAAATATGAGGTGATTAAGGCCATTTCGCGAAGTGGCCGGTATGCGCTGGTCAAAGTCTGATGTAATGCAACAAAACCTAGGTGGTCGTGCCAAGGAACAGGGTCAGTATCCAAACAAAAGTCTTTCAGTAATACTGATTAAAGTGGTGATAGAGTGTCTTGTAATAGCATCTGATTAATACGATGGTTATGACACCTGTTTAATTGGGTGGTTATGACAGCTGGTTAATGTGGGTGGTTGTGAGAGCTGGTTAATTGGGTGGTTTTGACAGCTGGTATAAGTGTGGTTGTCATAACTGGTTTCGCTTAAAAAGGGTTGCAGCCATCTTTTCTATTAACTAGATCTAGATCTATATTTTTCTCTTTGATTTATAAACCGCTAGTGTCAAAAGTGGCCCTGAACTGGTTCTTATTCTTTTCTTCTAAACAGAAAATGTAAAATAAGGCCTTGAACATTTATTACACCTCTCTCCACTGCAGTGTCACATGTCTTTTCGTGACGTAGTAAATAGAACACAGCTTTCCTCCATCTATAAGTAAAAGGGGAATATTTTTTATTCCACCACCCTTCTCCCATTTGGAAATCCATTTAGAATCTATTGTTCATCTCCGATTTTTGTTTTCTACCTTTTATTTACATATTGTTAAATTACCTGTTAATTTCTTACGCTGTTTATATTGTAAAAAAATTCTCAACAAATCTGTAAAAACATGTAAGACTATCAACTATCAAGGTAAAAATGTTTGTATTTCTTTATTTCTAATTAACATTCATTTGAATTGTTGATCGACAAATCATCTTTTAGTAATGTTAATTTTTTGAACTTTGTGTGCAGGTAAAGATCATTTTTGTAAAAGTTTGAATTATGTTACAGACTAACGCACACACATATGTGTATGTGCTGATGCAATTATTTCTATTTGAAAATAAAATTTAAAATGTATAAACCGCAATCCTTTTAAATTAAGAGGCAACAGCCTACGCTAAGTAAAATGATGAAGATATGCAATCGAACAATTACTCTTTAAATATTTTCATTCACATTAAACCAAATCAACCAAAGATACCCCTAGAGATAATCGATAGACAAAAACAATATAATTTGAAAAATGTGCAAGTTAAGTAGGACTCAAATCCAAGAAGAAAACTGAAACCATCTAAACTCTGAACAAATAAAAAGATGGTAGGGTTGGAGAAATGCCAAGATATTTGTATAGGGAGACACGCTGACAAGATATGTGTAGACCGCTGTCTTACGGCTAGAGCTAGGTTCTGGTTAGGTTAGGGAAGTAATTAGTTGTAGTTGCGTATTATCATCCCTAATGACTTTGGATGTGAGCTTCATAAGGGAAATGTTGCGATCAGCTGTTGGCTTGTTGAGGTTATGGTTTAGTGAGGGTTGGGATTGTGATATGGGTCTATGTTTAGTGAGGGTTGGGATTGTGATATGGGTCTAGGTTTAGTGAGGGTTGGGATTGTATGGACATGGTCTAATGTGATGTGGATAGTAGTGTTAGGGGTTAGTGAGGGTTGGGATTCTGATATGGGTCTAGGTTTAGTGAAAGTTGGGATTGTATGGACATGGTCTAGTATGATGTGGATAGTAGTGTTAGGGTTTAGTGAGACGGTAAAGCTAGCGTTATCTGGCTGTGTAATTTGGTTGAAATAGATTGTATAACGTAGAGATAAAGTTGTTTAAGAATTTAATCTGTACTCTGAACAACGGCTTTAAGTAGAATCTGCTGGTTGAATGGTTTTCATGTTACTGATGTATATTTTGTCTTTCAAATATTAATTTTTGCAACATCAACTAGAAGATAATGTATGTCACATGAACATCTGGGTTTGACCAGTACTACACCCCATTCCTGTCACATGACCATCTGGGTTTGACCAGTACTACACCCCATTCCTGTCACATGACCATCTGGGTTTGACCAGTACTACACCCCATTCCTGTCAAATGACCATCTGGGTTTGACCAGTACTACACCCCATTCCTGTCACATGACCATCTGGGTTTGACCAGTACTACACCCCATTCATGTCACATGGCCATCTGGGTTTGACCAGTACTACACCCCTTTCCTGTCTGGTGCGTGTTACATTCCACATTTAATTATTTGTGCAGGTAAGCCTGAAGTTTACAAATTACAACATTGCTCATCTAGTAGCTCACACTTGTGTAATCCACGCCTGTATGTTCACATTCTAATATTTTTTGTAATATTAAAACACCTACATTGTTTTGTATTTGTGGTGGTAGGCTCCGGTAAAAAAAAAAACCTTTTTTTAATACAAAAAGCAAACAATTTTTTCTCTACAGCTTTTTAAAGGAAAAGTCGCATATGTGTTTCCATTTCTAAAAAAATGGTTACTTTGACAAAGGCGGCCATATTGAAAAATTAACCCCTTCGTAGGATTTCCACCATTAATAAAATATTATATTTTAAGCCCAATAAACAATGAATTCTTAATCTTCTACCGTAGTTTGGGGTATTTAGCTGAAAAAAATTTAGTGCATTATCTTCAAACTAATTTATTATGAATTTTCGAATTGTGGGTCCGTTAAAACGGTGTATTAAAAAAGTTTTTTTTTACTGGAGACTACCCAGTTTACCCTCTTATTTTGATAACGGAATTAATTGTATTTTTTTTATTTTTTTATTTTTTTTTAACATGGAAAATATCTAATTACTTTATTTATGCAATCAGCAGCTATTTCTGCAAACTAAAACTAATTTAGCTTGCAGTATAACTAAACACAGAACTGAGTTATTAGCTGTGGAATTTTAGAAAGTGAGATAAAAATCCATGATAAATTTTAAGAGACTTAATTTAAAACTATTCATCATCTTCGCCACTTTGATTCATTGCTTGGCTTATACATCTCTCATGCTACTAACAATATAAAATACACATATTTAAGCAGCCATGGTAAAACAGAGTGTCATCATTCTTCCTCAGCAGGTTCTTTCTTTATGTCTTCATACAACTTCCCTCTGTTTGCGCTCCTAAAGTACTTATCTGGTAATGTTTTGAAAATTATCTCAAATGGATACGCTAGCACTATAACAGTTATAAAGAAACGTTGATGTTCGTTTGAAAACTGTTTGATCAGAGGCGTAGCGAGGGGGGGGGACGTATGTCCCCGGGCGCCGACCTTAGGGGGGGGGCGCCAAATTGAAAGTTTGAAGTGGGGGTGCAAATGAAAAGTTCGAGGGGGGGGTGCAAATCGAAAATTAGCTCCCGAGGGGGGCGCCAAATTGAAAGTATGTCCCCGGGCGCCGGGAAGGGTCGCTACGCCTCTGTGTTTGATAAAGTTGATTTGCCAAGGACTACATTGTGGTACGTAGTGTCTTATTTGATAACGGAATTATAATTATACCAAAGATACCAGATGAAAACTAGTACGGCAATCACACTAAACAATCCAAAGTCTTTGATATAACAATTTAAAAAACTAAAACCTTTCGGTTTCAATAATTTAAACTGATTCCTCCTTAAAAATAAAACACTCGTTTGAAAAAAAAACATTTAGATACAATTTAGAATACGTGTTTTCAAATTTGATATAAACACAGAATCATTGAAATGGGGAGGGGGGTATGTTCGTAGGTTGTGTGATTGCTGAGTATGGAATTGGGATGGGCAGGCGTGAAGCAAGTGACGTCTGGACGTCGTGATTTCATCTCAAGTTTTAAAAGCCGGGTTGAGTTGGAGTAAACAATTTCACTTTAAAATAATACGTTGACAATCTTTTTAAAAAGAAAAAAAAAACCCAATATAAAAAAACCCACATAAAATCGTGAATTAAGTATCATTAATCCAGAATATCGAATTATAAAGCGTTTGACTTGTAAGCAGTTAGCCTATGAGATGTGGTTGGTTAGTGGGTCTAGAGTATGTCGATTGATTTGTGGTTGTAATTTACTTCAGTGTAGTGGTAGATGGTGGTGATCATCTGGTTGTTGGAGTCAATAATATAACAGACTTTTGAATGCATGATTTGAGTGCTTGTATACGTGTTTGGTTGATGACTGTAGACTTCACCCATCTCAGATTTCCGTCTATTCGCGACTTGACGTAATTTGTGAAATTCAGATTGTATAGCAATCAGCATCATTATATCAGCATTTCTGTTTTGCAATCGCAATCTCTGACTTTTCTACCTGAAATCAGCACAATTTGGAAGTGTAACCTTTAACATTAATAACACCGTCTATGTTTTCTAGCTACTTTTAATGTTGTTACTAAGCAATGTAGGCTACACATCTATTTAATAATACTAACAAGAGTTACTTCCCATCTACACATTTAAACAATTTAAGGTAAATAATCTTCAGTGTGTCTTCTTAAATACAGATTAAACATAAATGTAATAGTGGTTGGGAACAGATCAAGCTAGACAATTGAAGGTTACAGTAGAAAAAGCTCAATCACCAGCAGATAAATGTGTACGAGACAGGTTTGGCAACTGGGGTGGGAAGGGTTGAATAGTGGAAAATGTTTGTTTTTTTTTTTGCTCGTGTTGAAATTTGGACTCGTTTGAAGTTCTAGAAAATCCAACAGGTGGGAACGGGGCAATAACACCCCCCATCCCTAGTAGGACATCCCCCCCCCCGGACAGGGTTAGAGTTAGAGTTAGGGCTAGGGTTAGGGCTAGGGTTAGGGCTATGGTTAGGGTTAGGGTAATATCTATGGCTAAAGTTAGGCTTAAACCAATGCTTAGCGTTGATTTTGGTTTTGTGTTTTAGGCTAAGGTAAATGCTTCGGTTTTGGTCTTTTTGTTAAGGTTAGTATTAAGGTAATATATAGGTATAGAATTCTAGTTATAGTTAGGATTCTAACTTTTTCCACTCTACCACAAAGACGAGCCAGCTCAGTTGATGGGGCGCTAGTCTATCAACACTACCGCAGAAACGCCCCGGTTTACGCTGATGAAAGACAACTCGGCGACGGCTATGGTGTCAGGGGCATCGCGCGTTTCTGGTGACACGGCTTTCGGCGGAGGCGCGTAACGCAGCGAGACGGATGATTCAAGTAGTACATCTATCTCCCTGCACAGCACTCCCAATAAGCGAACCCCGGATGCTAAGATAGCCACTGGGGATCTCGGGGCTCTCAACTGTACGTTTTCTTAGGAAGCCGTCACTTCAATATTTTTAAACAAATGTTAGGCCTATGACAGAAACCTTTGCTTGCGTGTACTCAAAAACTTCCCAAATTTTCATTGCGATAGTATGAAGGGTGTAGTCATTCATAAAAGACAGACACACGGTGTTCACATGTACAGCTGTATGTGCCCAGTTCACGCGGAAGAAAACCTTCTGATTTAAGGCAAGGGACATCCATAAATGACGTCTTGCTTTTTTGACGACTCACAAAAAGCCAGAACTTCACCCCTAAATGACGTCATTTGTTAATTTTTCTGAGTAAGGAACTTAAAAGGGACCCCAAAGCGCCGATGTGCTTCTATCGGAAATTGGGATGGTCTCAATTACTTTTCCTAAAGGCTTTTTGTAAAGGCTGCGGCTATTCGTACTTAACTACAAATAGCCCTATGAAGGCTATTCGTACTCTGACCAATCAGTGCGCGGCATTTTTTCTGTGATTCTTGAATTCCCTTTTTCATCTTTTACATGCTGTATAGATCTAGAACTGATTTTTTTTTTTAGATCTTACTAAACCTAACCCTAAATCTTACTATGCATGCATGCGCAGGACAATGAATTTAAAAATAAATTTGATTGGTCGGCTAAAAATAGCGAAGTACGAATAGCCTTCTGAGGGCTATTTGTAGTAAAGTACCAATAGACACTGAAGGGAGAGAATTTAAATAATGCACTTGTACTATAAAATTTTATAAAACAAAAAGAAGTTAACGTACATAAAACTGAATTTATTGTTATTATATTCTTTTTAATTATTTGTAAAATACAGGATAGTACAGAATAGTAGTTTTACCAATACAACAAACGTACATTTTGTGGGCTCCTAAACAAGCAAAAGTCGTCTTAACTTAATCTTAATATCTAGTTTGCAAGATTCTAGTAATCCTTTATGTTCCGTATATGACAAAGTAGAGAGGTGTAAAATTGTGTAAACTGTGAAATACCTGTTAATTATTCAGGAAGATCATAATACTGTCTCTATATTCTGACAAACGCTGAACACAAAATAGCTGCATTTATTTTATTTTCATTATTTTAGTCATTCATCACTATTTTTGCCTGATATAATCAATTTTCTATTTTAAAAAAAAAAAAGGCGTCGGTGTCCTAAAATGCTTCCCCACCCTAGATAAGCCACTGTTTAAAGCAAATCGTCACAAAAAAGCCACACCTCAGCCTACAACCCCCCACCCCTCAAAATAGCAGTTGAATTTTTTTTAAACATCAATATTTTTCCAAAATCTTGTCTGAACTGTCAAAATAGAGTATTTTAATTAATTCCTATTACAATTTATTAAAACAGTTTCAGTTTTCTAAAAACGCGAAATAACGTCTACATTTCGTTTTCTAACATGTTTTTTGTAATGCAAAGTGAGATGTCGCACCATCTTAACCGCCCCCCCCCCCCCTCATCACACACCCTCACAAAATTACAGATCCCCTACTCCCCCCCATACGTGTGTGACGTCATTTATAAACGATCTCTTAGAACACTTATGTCATAACAAATTATTCTTCTGAGTAAACTTTTTGTGACAAATAAAAATTCAAAGGGCTTGTCTCTTTAATAATTTTTTTTGTGTGAAGATAAACAAGAAATTTGAGAAAACCTTGGATGTCAAACATTTTACTCATATGGCTTTTCTCCTCAATAAACCCTTTTATGTGCTCTTAAATTAGAACTATCTGTAAATCTTTTAAGACAAACATATCATTCATATGGTTTATCTCTGGAATGAATAATTTTATGTCGTAATAGACCCTTCTTATACTTAAAGTTTTTATGACAAACATCACATTCAAGTGGCCTTTCTCCTGAATGAACCTTTTTATGTGTACTTAAATGAGAACTTTGAGAAAACCTTTTATGACAAACATCACATTAATGTGGCCTTTCTCCTGAATGAACCTTTTTATGTGTTCTTAAATGAGAACTTTGAGAAAACCTTTTATGACAAACATCACATTCATGTGGCCTTTCTCCTGAATGAACCTTTTTATGTGTACTTAAATTTGAGCTGTGAGTAAACTTTTTATGACAAACATCACATTCATGTTGTCTATCTCCTGAATGAGCTTGTTTATGTTGATTTAAATAAGAACTTTGAGAAAACCTTTTATGGCAAACATCACATTCATATTGCTTATCTTCAGAATGAACAATTTTATGTTGTAATAGATCCTTCATATCCACAAAGTTTTTATGACAAACATCACATTCATGAGGCATTTCTCCAGGATGAACCTTTTTATGTTTTCCTAAATAAAAACTATTTGTAAATCTTTTCAGACAAACATCACATTCATATGGTTTATCTTCGGAATGAATAAATTTATGTCGTAATAGACCCTTCTTAGAACTAAAGTTTTTATGACAAACATCACATTCATGAGGCCTTTCTCCTGAATGAACCTTTTTATGTGCTCTTAAATTAGAACAATCTTTAAATCTATTAAGACAAACGTCACATTCATATGGTTTATCTCCAGAATGAATAATTTTATGTCTTAATAGACCCTTCTTATGCTTAAAATTTTTATGACAAACATCACAATCATGTGGCCTATCTCCTGAATGAACCTTTTTATGTGTCCTTAAATTTGAGCTGTGAGTAAACTTTTTATGACAAACATCACATTCATGTTGTCTATCTCCTGAATGAGCTTTTTTGTGTTGACTTAAATTACAACTTTGAGAAAACCTTTTATGGCAAACATCACATTCATATTGCTTATCTTCAGAATGAACAATTTTATGTCGTAATAGATCCTTCATATCCACAAAGTTTTTATGACAAACATCACATTCATGAGGCCTTTCTCCTGAATGAACCTTTTTATGTGTTCTTAAATTAGAACTATCTGTAAATCTTTTAAAGCAAACATCACATTCATATGGTTTATCTCCAGAATGAATAATTTTATGTCGTAATAGACCCTTCTTTGCACTAAAGTTTTTATGACAAACATCACATTCATGAGGCCTTTCTCCTGAATGAACTTTTTTATGTGTTTTTAAATGAGAACTTTGAGAATACCTTTTATGACAAACATCACATTCATATGGCTTATCTGCAGAATGAACATTTTCATGAATATTAATATTAGAACTATGAGAAAGTATTTGATGACAATAAACAAATTTATTTTTTTTGTCCCTAGAAAACTGAAGATTTTCTTCAAGTCCATGTTGTTGTTTATCCTCAAAAAATAAAAATTCTGTTACGAAATCTTGTTTTAAATTTTCAGTAGTTGATAATTCTGGTTTTAAATTTTCAGATGCTGAAAATACTGCTAATGCAGCGGGTTTCTCAATAATTTTCTCAATTGAAAATGTAATATCAGGTTTAAAATATTGGGAAGTATTAAATGACTTATTAGGTTTCATATCCTGGAAATTAAACAATGATAATTCTGGTTTTATGTCATCAGAAGAAGAAAATTCTGGTGTAACATCAGGTTTTACATCTTTGGGGGCTTTAAATGTTATGTCAGGTTTAATATCCTGGAAATAAAACAATGTTGACAATCCTGCTTTTATGTCTTCAGAAGAAGACATTTCTGGTGTAACATCAGGTTTTACATCTTTGGGGGTTTTAAATGTTATGTCAGGTTTAACATCCTGGAAATTAAAAAATGTTGATAATTCTGCTTTTATGTCTTCAGAAGATGAAAACTCTGTCAATTCATTTGACTGTACATCTACAGTAGATGAAACTACAGCTAACACATCTGTTTCCACCTCCATGCTGGACAGCTTCTTAGATATGAACTGATGATTTAAAAAAATATAAATGTTAAACTGGTGATATAGCCAAGACATTTTATTAATAACAAAGCCATCAGGACTGCAGTTTAATATCTTGAGCTATCTGTTTCTTTAAATTATTTTTAAAAATAGAAATACTAAAATATTAACAATAACAAAAACCAAAATCTTATCAAAATATTTAATAAAAGTTTGAAAATCAATTTTAGTTACAGCTGTAAATTTGTCATAAACAGCTTAATAAACACTTGATTTCTTCAGGCAGCTTGGCACTAATTTGCACTGAATTTTTTTTTGTTTTGTGACAATATTTGTACACAATAGGACTTTAAGTTTTTGTTCTCTCTCACTTAAATTCAAGCCCTGTTAGCCAGGGAGAGTTAAAAAATTTGAACCAAATCAATTGTTATGAATGGGATTCCTATTGAATGGCGGCTTCAAGATTTTAAAATAATCAAAAGTTCCCAAAGTTAAAAAAATGTAAAAACTTTCAACTCTATTTTATTTGTATGGCAGGGTACAAAGATATGTGCATGCATAAAAGTTTTGTGTAAGTAAGTATATAGATTTATTAATTTGTTTACAGTTAGTGCAAGGCAGGCTAGTGGACATTATCTGCTTTAAACTACGGAAAGAACACAACACTAATGGTGTCATCTTCTAATTATACAAAACGAAGAAATGAACTATTTCATTCAAATTTGATTCAGATCTAGATTCTATAAATCAACCTATCAAGATGTACACTATGAAATGTATACAATTTTCTCTGTCAAACGAATACAAATTACTTTAAAAAATAACACAATGACCATTAAACAGCCATGTTTATAACAGAATCATTTAAGTCTTTTAATCAGTGTGTGCATTTAATATGGTGTTGTGTTGACTAATAATGCACATGTTTTGACCATAAACTATTTTTACAAGCTTTTATTTAACTCCCTTCCTCTGTCATCAGTTGTCAGTCCTCTGTATGTCTAGATTTAAACACCCGAGCAAAATTTTGGACACTTTTAACTAACAGATTTGTTTCGACGTTGGGTCAAGACATGAAGACTAAGCAGCATGCAACATGACATTAAATTGACTTAATTGGATGCCTAATACATTTTTAATGAATTAATTAAAATGTTGTCCAAATTAGTAGACTGTCTCATCAAACTATTCTGCACTATTAAACATGCAACATCACGTTCATTAGATGCGCAATGGTTTTAAGTCATGCAACTATTGTAAATTTCAAAAATTTTAAGTACTGAAAAAAAATTCATAAAAAGGTTTGAAATAACAAGCTTTAATGTATAAATGCAATAAAAAGGAGAAAATAAATTATACACTACTATATAAATAACTATAAAGAAAAGCGTGGGTCACTTTAGTATATATTGGATACCTTTACTAATATTTAGGAAGAGACCCAAGATTTTCTTTATAGTTATTTAAATAGTAGTGTGTAATTTATTTTCTCCATTTTAGTGCATTATTACATAAAAGCTTGTTATTAAACGTTTTTTGTGAAATTCTTTTTTTGGTACTTAACATGTTTTTATTTACAATAGAGTTACATGACTAAAAAACCATTGCTCATCTATTGAACGTGATGACGCGTGTGGAATAGTTGGATAGGACTGCCTACTAATTTTGTCAAAATTTTAATTAATTCATAAAAAATTAATTAGGCATCCAATTAAGTCAAATTTAATGTCATGTTGCATTATCTTGATGTCTTGACCCACGTACCAACTATAACAGTGTCTGTCAGGTAGAAGTGCCTGCAATTTTGCTCAGGCTTTTCGATCTAGACAGACTGACAACTATTGACAGAGGAAACAAATTAAATAAAAGCTTGGAAAAACAATTTGGTGTTGTGTTAAATAATAATGTATATAATTTGGTTTTAATTTTTCTAATAGGTATTGGTAGCATATGTTATTTTAAATGTGTTGGATTTTTAGCTATTTCTTTGCTTTGTCACTAATATCGTTCAATGTTTAGTAATGCACATGTTGTCTTGACCAATAAATTTTTTTTATAATCTATTTTTTCAAAATTAGTATAACAGTAAAAATATATAGGCCTATAATGCTAGTAAACAGGTACCCATGGTTAGTATGGTATAATCAACAAGCTACAGCAAACAAAAAAGTAGCTGACATTATAATCATATATATGAATAAAATTATACCTATATTCTTGTTCATAATATCCTGTCTTCTATAATGATGAGTCAAACATATATGTATTGTGAAAGTGCTGCTTTAAATTTGCTAGTATAACAAGAAAGGAAAAAAAATTTAACATTTAGCTAATGTAATTGTAATGATTGAGTTACCCAATAGGTTATCAATCTAATGATAATGTCTTAGCTTCCTAAAGATGGACATAGTATCAACATTTTGACATTAAGCCTGAAAATATTAGTTCATGTGATGGAAAATGTTATAGACCTAGACTCAATAAGCTTATAAACTAGAAGGGGTCTACTAAATGTTTTCAAAGGTGTTTTGGAATCACTTGAAAAAACATTGGAGCTTTAAATTTGCCTTTAGCGCTAAGTTGAAAATTCTTTGAAAGTGAAAGTATAAGTTGGTACGTTTCAGTGGCTCATTACACTATACAAGTAGGTCTACTATTCAGGGTTCATGCTCCAAAGCTAAAAATAAATTCCATGAGTTTTTCAGTTTTAAATAAATTCTAGGACATTTTTTAAAAATTAAGAAATCTCTATTGTTTAGCCACATGTACATTAATTTGATTAAGCGCAGTAAATGTGTTCTTTTTTTCTGCTATTAAAGCAGCCTTACGCCATTATTGTAAACATTCATAGCATAGTTTAATATAGCTAATATCTTAAATAAAAGAGGTATCTGTTACTCCAAAATAACAATGAAAGCCTTTTCTAATTACAAATAGTGTTTCCCTTACACAGATTTTACAATATAACAAAATAGGGGAAATTTTTGGAGCATTTAGTTAATGCAAATGTAATGATCGAGTTGCCCACTTTATCATTCTAAAGATAATGTCTTAGCTTCTTAAAGATAGATATAATATAATTTTTTTTTTTTAAACTAAGCCTGAAAGTATTAGTTCATGTGATGGAAAATGTTATTGACCTAGACCCGATAAGCTTAAATTAGTAGGGATCTACAAAATATTTTAAAAGGGGTTTTGGAATTACTTGAAAAAACATTGGAGCCAAAAATCTCCACCTTGATGATAACCAAGCCACATCAATATTAATGCTTATTGCCTAATAGTAGTAGTAGACTACTATTACAGTTTGTTGCCGGAATCCCTCCCTCTCCCTCCCAAAGAAGAAATGGTAGAAAGATCACAGTGAGTTCATTTCAGGTCAGAATATAGTAGGCCCTAGAGCGCACACCACAGCAGGAATAAAAATGCTATTTAAGATAGGCTGTGACATCATCTTGAATAGCAACAGGCCTAGTCCAAGCTATGTTTGCTAAAGGGCTGTTGTTATAACTGAACACACAGTGAACCCTCCACTTGTCAAAACTTTTTTTAAAAAGAAAACGGGTGCGGCGATCACGCTGATCATGAAGATATTTGAAATTTGCATATTTCATATTATTATTTGTAAACCTTTTGCTTTAGATCAAGAACACGTTTTTTTAATATACATATTGCTTCAGCTCGCCCATAGTCTACAACTTGCTGATTGACTGAACAAAAACGAAAATAGAGGTTGGATTTTCACTGTTCACTAATGGACGCCAGCGAGAAAAGTCTCAAAGGTATTTGAGAGGTCCATAAATTAATTTAAAAACTATGCACGGCTTAGTTACAATTAATATGGTTATAAAATCCTGCTTGTCTGGTTTTTTTTGGACTTTACTAAAGATTGGGTGTATCTGATGTTTTTAATATTTTCGGTAACTAAATAAAAATTTAAAAAAAGCAAAAACAATTTGGTTTTCACGTGCAATGGCGACATAAACAATGGCATCCTGCTATTCGATAGGCCGCCATAAGTTATATTGTACACATTGTAAGCTAAACAGAAAACTAGGTCATGGGGTTTAAATTTGCATTGTTATTTAAAAACTTGATCTGCAAAGTTTTGTAAACAAAAAGTTATCGATCACTAAGTTACTGTTCAGCCAATCAATATTTGTCTTGTGAAAGTGAAACCTCCGGTTATAACTTAGGCTTGATGAAAATAAATAGAAATGTAGCCTTAAACTCAACAAATTATTTTCAAGTTCTCTGGGTCTGCAACTTTTATAGCATTTATTCTAAAAATATAAAATTTCTAAATTAATTTTAGGCTTAAGTTTTTATATTTTTTTTTTTACGGTCTAAATCGAAAAAGCACGTTTTTATTCCATGTCAACAACATTATGGAAGGAATTTCGTCAACTCGCTGGTGTCCATTTTTAGACACCATTTAGACACCTTTTAAAAAAAATTACATGAGAATTCCAGGAGGTTTTCACAATTTTTTAAATTTCATAAATTTTCCAGAACCTCCTGGAATTTTAGGAGGTTGCATGTTTTATTAATAAAATAGTAAGAGTTTTGTCACAGACTGTATTATTATGTATCTTTATTATATTGTGTTTTGCATGAATGAAGAGTACCTGGCTAGCGGAAGGACTGTCTGAGCGATCGTCATGTGTTTTTCCGTGTTTTGGGTGAGATCGCTCATTGACGTAAGGGGAGAGAAAGTGGTGAATAAAAGGGAGAGCGAAAGGTGAACGGGTGTTGTGTGCTAGGACTTGGGACTGGAACGATGGCAGTGAATGTAAGATGTCTCCATGACTTGGAGTCGTGATTATTATTTGTACCTATATCAGTTGATCTTCAAATATGGATGTACCACGGATTTATCTGTACATAGTGTAAATAAAGTTGTCATTTCAAGTTGCCACTGTTGCTCGTGTTCCTGTATGAAAGCTAACCCACAACAACAAAGAATACATGTTGTTACATATGGTGTCAGAAGTGGAGGCAATAAAGTGATGTTGCTACATTGT